GATCCTATATTCGGGACGTGAAGGGACCAGTCCCTTCCTAATAGCATCCCTAAGACCTGCAACAAAGGCGGCTGACAACATCTGAGTATGGGCCTTGTTGTAGCGACTAAAACCCAGGTCTGAGAAGGTTTGGGCCAGTCTAGCGTGATATTTCTCAACTGATTATGTTTTGTCCTGAACAATATTATTAATACAGGTGGCCTGGTCAGCCAGCTTGTCTTGTGCCCAAGTAAATAATTGTTCACAGAAGGTAATACCTGATTGGAAATTATTATCAGAAATGAGGCGTGAATCATCAAAACTTCTCTCCATTATAGGCCAATAAGTATCTCCTGCTTTGATCTCACATAAACTGTACAAATCGCGCCATGCAGCAGAATAAGTTGTACGAATCTGTGCAATGCGACGGAAAAAAAGGCATGGGTTGCTTCTCTGGTCAGGTAGGGAGGCCAACAGAGTAGCAGCCTGGGATGGATTGAAGATCACATACATCATTGGAGCACCATCAGCCTGGTTGTAAGCATTGTAGCTGATACTCTGGTCGGGCAAGGGGGCAGCAGGAACGGGGGTAGGAGTGTGGTGGGTCGGCAGAATATTTTTCCCCTGGGTAGTGTCGTTATTGGGAACCGAGGGAGACGGCAACCCGTGGAAACTAACCAGACTGGGGAAGGCCGGAGCCTGTGCGGCGGCAACCCCAATTTCAGCCTGTGTGCCTGTGTTAGTACGCTGAAGAGCGGCTAACTGCGAGGTAGTCGGATGGTAGCCGGAGGAGCATGGGGGTCAGCAGAGGCCTGTGCCATAAACTCATTAGACCCCACGGTCATAATTGGATAACTGGAGGCCGCCATATTGGGGGTGGAGACCGGTGACGTATCGGAAGGGGAAATGGCAGCCATGGCAGGGTTGGGGCGGAAATGGGGGAGGAGGGGTAGACATGGGATTGGGGGCCTGACTTTTGAAAGGTAACGGCTACTGCAAACAGGATTGTCTGAGGCAGTAACTAATACGCTTCTTCTGTCTAGGAAGAAATCTACGTCTAAGTGTTATCACCGTATATAGTAGTCATTTAAGTCCTGGAATCTTAACAAAGGTCTAGACTTCTTGAACCCTGATCAGAACCAGATTTTGGAGTTCTTACAGGCGTGATTGGATAAGGCTTTAAGCCTGAGTAACTTGAAGGTGCAGTGTTCTGCACTATTGGCCCTCTGTAACTACTCTTGGGCTTCAAATCCCCTGATTGCCAGGTTCTTTAAGGCTACCATTCGTATTAGACCTCCTCTGTGCAACTATGCTCCTCCATGGGATCTTCCTCTGGTCTTGGATGCCTTGTCCGAAATTCCTTTTTCTCCTCTAGAGAACGTGGATTTTTCTTCTCTCACGTACAAAACTCTGTTTTTGTTGGCCGTTACATCAGCCAGAAGAGGTGAGAGCTCTCTCCTGTGCAGAGGAATACATACAGGTTTTCCACGACAGAGTGGTTTTACGTCCAAAAATGGAATTCCTTCCTAAACTTGTCTCAAAATATCACTTACACCAGGAGATCGTTCTGCCTTCTTTTTTTCCTGAACCTTCCTTGGATCTGGAGGTGAAGCTTTATAATCTGGATATTGGGGAATATTTGATCAGGTATTTGTCTGTTTCTGGTACATTTCATAAGACGGATCATTTGTTCACTATTCCTGAAGGCTCCAGGAAGGGTGAAGCTGCTTCCACTTTTACACTATGTAGATTGATTTCCAACATCATCACTAAAGCTTACTCTCTGAAAGGTGTTTCTCCTCCGAAACGGATTAAGTCTCATTCGACTAGGTCTTTGGCTACTTCATGGGCTAATTGGGGAGAGGTGTCTCCTAATGACATCTGCAAGGCAGCAGCGTGGTCTTCTCCTATGATCTTCATTAAACATCATAGGCTGGATGTAGCCTCTTCTTCTACTAAGTTTGGCAGAAGCGTGTTGGCCTCTATTAGTACGGCAAAATAAAATTATGTGTTATTGCAGTTAATAAGTGTGGATTATTTTTCCCAACCCTTCTAACTAGTATGCTTGGGTATTACCCATAAGTGATGCTGCCATGTTTAGCCAGGAATGCCAAAATTTTATTTCATACTTACCAGTAAATTTATTTTCCTGGCTATTTCTCATGGCAGCATCAGGTTCCCGCCCTGGGTTTTGTCTGAGCTTTTTAATTGGACTGTGGTATGGAGGGAGGAGGAACCCTTTATGCCTACAGCCTCATTAATTGTTTAATTGTTTTCTGTCCTCATCCGGCTGAGGGTGGAGCTAACCCATAAGTGCTGCTGCCATGAGAAATAGCCAGGAAAAGAAATTTACTGGTAAGTATGAAATAAAATTTCGGTAATATTTGTTATTTGCTAAATGTGAAAATGGTAAAAAAAAAATTAAAATGTGCATGTAACTGGTTACCTCTGGGTTTTTTATACCTCTGTCCATGTTTATACATGTTATTGGGAGAAAACACTATAAAAATTTATACTAATAAAATTAAAATGTAATTGGATAAAAGTAATGAAGAAGTAAAACACTTGGTTGTTGTGCCCAATATATCCAAAAGACTATGTCCATAAAAGGGAAGATACCTGGCTATATTTTCTCAATATTTGTTGCACATCCAATGTATAAACATTACAGCTCTTATATGTGAACAACGGAGACAGATGGTTCACTAATAGTTTTTATTTTATTTATTTTTTTATAATGCTGCAGCTTTGGAGGAACTGTCAAAAACATAACATAGTAAATTCACTTCCTTCACCCAAGCTGCTTCGATCCATCCAGAAAAACCATATGGGCTTTCTAAAAATAAATGAAATAGTAAGCCAGAAATATACAGCTGCACAGAGGACTCTGCAAATGTTCGTCATTGCTCGTACTGAATGTGAAGTGAATATTGTGTTTTCATGTCCTTTACCACTGTAACAGTAAATACTGTAAAAGAACCGATCATGAGGCACTTTAATTGTCTATGATGAAGAAAGTTTCCATTGGTGGTAGCCAAATAACTCAAGTTGCTGTCTAGATTGGAATTTATCCCCTTAATCCCTTATTTGCTATCATCACAATATCGGCCCTAAAGCCAGTATAAAATGTCCTACTTAGATAACTTTGACTGCTTTATACATAGGTGACCGCTTTGAACTGCCCTATTCACAATGTGAAACGGAGTGTGAGTACTATTCGCTTTTTAAGCAGTACCACCCATCAGATCTGAACTCTGGCTTAAGACTGACATATATACCCTGTGAACCCATTTTGGACAATGGTTTATAGTATAGGAAAGAAAACATAGTCCAGAATGAGAGGCTTCTAATTGGTATAAGTTAGGATTTTTCTTTTCTTTTTTTGCATTCTTAGTACAATTTATATATAATGCATTAAACGTTGTGTTTATTTCCAGTCCTGCAGAGTCCCAGGATTTTTTAATTTTTTTTTTTAACTATTTTGTATTAATTTGCTTCTTACTAACAGCCCAACATTTATTGAACTGGGATATTTAGATTAGAAGCAGCATACCTACTTTGGCTTATGTGTTATTCCATATTGACAGTAATAATTGAGATATGGAAACTGCCAGATCTTGTTTACTTATGGCTCAAGGTAGTTTTATTTCACATAAGACAAATACACAGTCATGCTTCTACTGATCTCTTCCTGTAGAGTCAAAGTAATGGAAAAAGGCACAAAAGAGTGACATTTTAAATTGAAAGAAGGAGAACCAGAGAGCTTAGTTTTGAAGAACAAATAACGTGCCCTCTTAAAAAGGGATATTTTGAAATCACTGTAGGTTTTATTAATGGAACACTTAATTTACATTTAAAATGACTAAGCTAGAAAAATATACTATACTATACTATAAGTCCACAGAATTTGCTGACCATAAAAATATACAGATCAATGCTCTAAATATTGTAAAACAAGTGTTTAGTCACCAAAATTCAATTTAAATTATTAAAATACAAATGCTCCTATTTGGAGTTACGTGGGCCAAATATCACAGTTTTTAACAGAGCCCACTGAGTGAAACCTCTTCCCTAAGAAATGCCATTGTCAATATAATTTCAAGTAAAACTAAAATAATTGTATGTTCTAAAACTGATCTATGGCAACCCACTTCATTTAAGAGCCAGCTTTAAATATGTTACATTTAAATTTGGCCTAGTCCAATGATTGGGCTTTAGGAAAATGCTAGAGGGATAGTATAAAAGCACACTTAAAGGGACTCTCTAAGTACCAGAACCACTACAGCTTAATGTAAATTATAAACAATATCTCTTGTGACTGTCACCATTAGACATCCTATCTGGTGTGTCCCTGCAGTTTTTCTAGAGTCTGATGTTCTGCATCTTCACTCTATGCATGGAGATGCACCCCATGCAAATGCATCAATCTCCATGATTACCACACATGTCCAATAGTTCCCCAATGGTTCTCTATGTGAGATCTGTGCAATATCTAATTGTATATAAAACAAATTATCGCTGTTTTCTGTAATTAAAAATAATTAAAATAAAGAAGAACAATCTGTCAATTAAAAAGCACTGAAACATCATACAGGGAGTGCAGAATTATTAGGCAAGTTGTATTTTTGAGGATTAATTTTATTATTGAACAACAACCATGTTCTCAATGAACCCAAAA